AAAAAAAACAACACATGACCGGATTAAAGGCCACCCCCACTTTGACAACATAATAATCCCTGATCAATCCTGACATAAAATGATTGTGGCTGATATTTGGTGTCCGGTTTTAAGCTCAGCGCCACATTTCACTCATTTCATGGACTAGGGATCCATGGGCTTATCGGTGGTAAATAATTGTTATTACAGCAATTACATGTGCTTAATTGTGTCTTTCCTTCAAATAAAGGAAGTATAAATTTATATACTGGTAGTTTTTCTTTGCTGGTTCTAATCTGCTTGTAATAAAATGTTCATGTTCATGTACTACCACGTGTGTTCACGACATCAAACGATCCTACTGTTTCAAAATGTCGCTAGACTAAGGACTTGTTGAAGTTGAGGATTGCAAATGAGCAGGGTTGGGCCGGTTCTAATGCGACAACAAGATCCCCAGGGATCATTTCTATATAGAAAAACCACGGGCCAATTTTAACAAATTGAGTTTTTGGGGGGTTTTGGAAAAAAAAAAAAAAAAAAAATGGCCATCACTTCAAAGATGATGTTGCCCCAAAATTCTTAGGATAAAGTTTCAGGCGATTTAAAAATGTGCAAAAATCATTCGGTTTTTATCCCTCGGCCTTCTGGTCGGGGGATATAGTGGTAACGATCAGTGTCTCTGCGTCTGTCCATCTGACGTTGTGTGAGAGTAACATTCTTGGGATGTTTTCGGATTATTCAGTTAAAAAAAAAATGTGAAAAACAGTTTCCTAAGGGATTTTGAAATTTATTTTTATATAACGTTCTTCACAAAATGCACCAGAAACACAACGGAAACCCTCACTGCACATGGGCTTTTCTATAAATGGAATAAGCAGAAATTGAATGACATTCAGTCGAAAACAAAGGAAATATCCCCAAAATTTAGCCCTCGTCTTGACATTGTAGGGATATCTCCACAATGTCATTCAATTTCTGCTTATTCCGTTTATAAAAAAGTCCATGTGCATACAGTGAGGGTTTCCGGTGCATTGTGAGGAAATTTATGTGAAAATAAATTTCAAAATCCCAAAGGAAACTGATTTTTTTCACATATTTGAACAGAATTACAAGAAAACATCCCCATAATGTAATATAATATATATATATAATATACTCTCACACAACGTCCGTCTGTCCCACATTGCTTGTCATCACTCAAGCAGCTGTATTCCTTCACGGATTTTGATGAAACTTCACACACTTGTTTGCTTTGACCATACCTCGGACAAATTTGAATACCGGCACGACTGGTCAAGGTCACTGTTACTAAAAATAGAATTTGACCAGACATTGCTTGTCATCACTCAAGCAGCTGTATTCCTTCACTTATTTTGATGAAACTTCACACACTTGTTTGCCTTAACCATACCTCGGACGCATTATTGGTCAAAGGTCAAGGTTAATACTAAAATATAGTTTCAGAGGACAACAACATTGATGTTGCATGATCGTAAGAGGCGACTAAATTTGGGACCTTATCTCTTCTCTCCTTTCTAAATAACTTTCTTCTTCCTAATGTCTCCCTTGACAATGCCTCACTTTTGGCCATTTGTTGAGCGTTCGCCCCTGTGAGGAAGGCTTTGGGTTCTGTCCCCTGGCCGAGACATACCAAAGTCTTTAAAAATGGTAGTTTCTACTCCTGCTTAACGCTCAGCAAATTAGGAGTGGGACGACTGGTTCGCCCGTTGTCAGTATAATGTGACCGGGTGGGGCGTCCTGCTGGGTGTCTTCGGCAGAATGTTTCAGTGAGGTAGCACTATAAAGTCGGCATCAGTTTCGCGCTATCACAAGGAGACAAACACGAACATATTGCAGCCTCCCAATATACACACACATACACTACACGCATGCATCTTGCACCCAGGGGAGGCCGTCCTTAAATGACCTTAGCTGTTAATAGGACGTTAAACAAAATCAAACAAACAAACAAACAAACAACATTGATGCAGTTGGCCATAGGTCCAGCATGCGGGGGTTGGGGGCATTGTGAGCTTTGCGCTTTCTCTAGTTTCAAGGGTGTCGGTATCACTCGACTTATGTAGCCGGGGGGATATGTCATCCTCATATGACTTGTTATATATGAAGAGCTGTACGTGCAGGACTGGAATGATGCCATAAACTTGTAATTAAAACCAAATAATTGTGTTTAGTGTTACAATGTAAAGACGATTACGTATATATCAATAGAAATGTCCGTAAAAACGGAGCTCCACTCATATAGAAAATATATGTAAAGAGATGCTAACAAATTATAGCCCTCACTATAACAACCTGTCGCCTTGTGACATCATGATATTACAAATCCCTAGTGTTAGCCCATCATATCATAGATAGTGGCCATGGGGTGTTCAGATGCTCCGGCCAAAGTGTCAGGACTGAATGACTGACGGATGGATGGATGAAGCCCACACAATGTCTGACATCCTCATACAAACGCATGGATGGCCAAACTGAGTGCAATCCTGTGGTCCCCTCTGGTAGTACTGGTAGGCAAAACAGTGCGTTTGGAGAACCAGAGATACCTTTGGGCACTTGAAGTCGCCACCATTTAAAAATAAAATTGATTAATTTACATAATTATTTTTTTATTTTTAACTGCTTTACAAACGTGTTTAAAATAATTAATTAACGATTCATTGAACTGCTTTACAAACATATGCATACTATCCAAGATTGTTTATGTTATTGGGAAAGTGTGGCACTAACTACAAATACATATAATATACATGTAGCTTCTAACACATGTATATGTATTATCATTTATTTATGATATTAAAGTAGCAAAACTCATCAGGTGGAATTTGTACATGTATTCATTATTTGTATAAATCTGACAATATATAGACTAGTGCTTGGTGAAGTACATGCATTCTTTTGAATGATTGTAAATCTAAATCGAAAAATGTGAAGTGCTCACAGGCCAAATAAAAAATAGTGCATTTCCCATTACCGGTACATCTCCAAAAGAAATAGGGTGAACTATCATGTAGATTTATGCATGTAAAATTTCACACAATTTTAATGCATAATAACATTTATCGTAGATTCCGAAAATAACTATTATTAATTTAAAACAATATTTGTGGTGGGGCCAAAAATCAGTTTGCTTAAAAAATCTCTAGTTGGGCAACACAAATTGGGTACATGTAAGTATAGGGTAATGGGAAACACACAATACATTTTATTAGACGTTTTACCATGAATACAGTAAAGATCATACTGTCAAAAACTCAAGTAATGCTCAGTTATTAGCCTCATATGTCCCTTCTAATTCAAGTGGTCAATGTGGAAAATGAGTTGACAAAACAACTCTGTTGCTTCAACTACGTTGGAAGGTGGGTATGCTTGTCCCTGTTCACGAATAATGCAGCTTGCAAGAGTCAAACTCCATTGACACACCTCTTGCAGGGGGGTATATGCAATATTCTTGCTCCAATCCATCGACTTGGGTTGGCAAAGGCAGCTTGCTCTCAGTGGCCAAGAACACTTCAGGTTGAAAGTACAAGACATTTGGTTTCCCGGAAGGAGATTCTGAATTTCGATTATATCGAATGCGATGTTCATTCCAATGACGTATAACTTTTTTCAAATCATGATTGATCAACAACAAGAAACAGTAACGTACACATTCCAAGTGAACATTGTCAGATGTATCTAATACACCCATGTCCGCTATATCCTTGAAATGGTTGATCCAAAAATGACCACACATATCGCGCATATTTCGCCAAAATCTTTCAATGCGTGTGTTTCTGGTAGATGATCCATAGATGAAGCTTGATAGCCCTTGAAATGGATCAAGGTGGTTCCATCGAAGAGCAAACTGTAAATCGCGTGTAATGGCATTTTCAGTCCCTCTG